CATATATATATATATATATATATATATATATATATATATATATATATATATATATATATATATACATATATATGTACATACACGTGTGTGTGTGTGTGTGAGTCTCCATGTATTTGTTATCAGGCCTGTCAAGCAAAGTGGAAGTGTCACTCTCCTCTCTGCTGCATTTAAAATCGTGTAGTAAATGGTTGGCATCTACCACATGGACTGGTCTATATCTCTTTATGGAGTGACTGTGTAGGTTTGAATGTCCACAGGTATGGCTGGTTGCTGAAGGTGAAGCTGGAGATCAACGGGGGAGCTGGTAGGTTCTCCAGTCGGCTAAGGACTGGGCAGTCCTTGTGTTGCTGCTGTTGTTGTCGTGATCTTCTGGAGGATCAAGGAATACTGATCCCGGTTCCAATCAATCAGTCGAGATTAGCGAAGATCTAGCTTCGCCTAGGCCTACCATATATATGGCGCGGCCTGTATTAGCTTTTTATAGCTGTCTCATTTTATTCTCTGACACTCGATACTTACCGTGATGGCGGAATTGCCAGCAGGCGCTCCAGCCGCCATGATGTAAGCATGCGTCATAATCTTATTACCAGCCCGGCAGCTGTTGTGGGGGGTCCCTGACTCGGGAATTTTATGTGCTCACAACTCTGTAAGTAATGTACCAGGGTGGTGTTCGACTCGCCACTATGCATTCAACGCCTGTCTATATAGTAAATTGCCTCTTGGTGTGCCCTCAGTTCAGCAGGCAGACTGTTGCTACTTGTGCTTGTAGATAACTTATGCACTAGTCTGTTTGCCTCTGATTGAGGGTCGTGGTGTGTGCACATCGGGGCTGAGTGGCTGGTAGCTCACATCATTCCAGCCACTTTCCCTGCCTGACTTTGGTGGCAGTTTCCTTGGCATCCCTGACAGTTTCCCTTAGGAGGGATAGGTTGTCAGGGGTTCTTTGCCTTCATAATTGTTCCCTGCACATGTTCACTCTGTGGTTGACCTTATTAATCTCATCATTAAAGTACCAGGTGTGTTTGTAACTCCTAGACCTCTGTGTGGCTGCTTGATTTAAGGCATTGATAAGTCTGGCTTCCAGCACTTCCATATTTGTGGGGGGGGCCAGCATCCATGAAAGTAAAAGTGCCATAGTGGTGACTTGTGACAGTCTTATCGACACACTATCTAATTATCTCCACCAAAGCCGCAGTGTCCAAGGTAAGGTCTAGGACCCCTCCTCTGACATACGTTGGCTCTTGTGTATTGAGAAGAGTGATCCCAGGGAATGTCTCCAGCACATTGGCTATGTGATAGCTTGCCGCCTCCGATCCCCTGCAGGGAGCCAGGATGGCTATGATCACTCGATCTTGGGCTGTGGTAGCACAGACCTGGCTAACAATGTCAATGTTCCCTGATTGCACTATTGTGTGGAGGATGGCATTTCTTGTATGTTTAATTTTTTATGCTACTAAGTGATGAAAGTAGTTATTTTTGAATTTCAGAATATTAACCCATTGCCGCCGGTGAAAATGAACAAAAAATGGGGGAAATACAGTACTCATTTTTTATATTTTTGTGAAATATGTCTGTCCATAGATGGCTCTGCTAGTCCTGATTTCACCTTTCCTTGAATTGGCGGGAAACAACGTATTTTTACTAGTGCTATAAATACAGATGGTGTTATTTTTAACAGCAAATTAGGATAACGTTAAATATTTTCGTAAATCGATGAAAAGGGTGAACGGGCGAGACAGACAGTACTCGTAATTGGCTCATTGTATACTTAGTACAAGTGTAGCCATCTATGTGTAAAAACAATCGAACAAATCGACTCACAGTGGGCATGGCATGTACGTAGATGCCATCTTCGGCGGCAATGGGTTAATGGTGTGAATTGTTGCGGTAAAATCAAATGTAAACTTTGTTTCTTTTTTCACTTATGGATTGCATTGTGGCTGCTCTGCAACATTCACTGTAAACAAAAAGAACTGTAAATAAATGCTCATGTTTATAATAAAGACTAAGTGGCTATTATCTTCACTGACAACTACTATTGGCCATTGAAAATATATGAAAAAGTATGGAAGCACTGCAGTGTTTTATTCCAGGTTAATCTTATTCATTGAAATGTGTGGTGCATTTCTTAAAATAGATCAATTGGCACTGGTATTGGCAACTTTAAAACAAACACAATAACAAACAATCTGTGATATTCAATCTCAAATAATTTTTTGCCCAAAATTTCGCCTGTAAACATAGATCAGTTTTCACTAAAATTATCAGGGTAAACCATGGCATGTTGAGATGGTAAGGTATGCATCACATTTCACTGTCTGTAAATGCTATTTGTTAGATTTTCTCTTCTGATTTGATGACACAATTTATAAATTAATAATGGTTCGTTTATGAAGCTTTGTATGAGGTCCGGAATAGACACTCAAGTTACATGGAGTTATTCCATAAAATTATGTGAAGATGTGCGGAGAATATTTAATCAGAAATTTCCAACAGTCTGTCAAGCATATTTCAGGTCGATATTCATGTGTTTCAACAGATTATATAAATCAAAACATCAATCTTATATCTAGAGACACTTAGGACTCCTTAGGTGGAGAGCCGGACCGGCATCTCGCGCCCGTCAGCCAATCACCGTTGGCTGACGTTGGCTCTCCGTCTGAGGTGTCCCAAATGTCTCTGAATATGAGCATACATCTCATGCATTTAATATTTTCTAGCTCGGCGAATCTCATTACCAACCTCGTCACTGACTTTCCCTCTTAATGAGCGTATTTAGGATAAGTTGAGCTATGTTCTTCAAGTTTGATCTATTATATATTGATAAATCCTATTTAGTAATATAATGTTGGATTTAGTAAATCTGAGAGATAATTGGAATGACATTAACTTTTTCTTTAAGGAAGAAATAAAAAAGTTAAATAGATTGAATTTTATTTACAAGCTACGCCGTCAACTTTGCTTCTCAATTATATGTCCTTGTGAGTCACCTTCATATCTAAGGGTTAGAAAATGACGGGCATTAATGACACACGAAATACAGTCGCCTGTAAATCACTCAATATGTACAATCATTCCATTTTACATACCTTCTCAAGTGTATTTCCCTGTGATTCATGCTGAACATTTTCTTCATCTGCGAAACTGCTATGGAATTCCAGTCTCACTCCGGAATGTCGACAGATGAGGCACTGTCTTCCCGTGTGGTGCTGATTCGCCTTCTGTTCCTTTCTGGCAGGGATCAGCTGGTACACTCCGCTCTCGTGTAACCGTCTGCGGACTGTTTCAGGGCTTACGTTTAACTGGAGCGTTTTCCTTAACCTCGTGGCATTTGTATAGGGGTTTTCTTCGACCGCTCGTATGATGGCCTCGTCTTCCTCCCGTGAGGTTACACGGGGTCGCGGTCTTCTGTCTGTATGAAGGTTGACATAAATAACTGTCAAGTATATCAGAGATGAAACTTATTAATTTAGATCTTTGCCCAAAGCTTATGCAATAACTCAACTTACGTAAACTAGTAAGTAATCCAGTTTCCTGATGCCGCTTGATCCACTTGTTGACAGTTGTTGCTGATATGGCCATGCGACTAGCTATTGCTCGAATGGATAGGCCTTCATCTCGGAGAGCAATGATTTGGGCTCGTTTCACAATCCTCCTCTGCTCTTGAATAATGGTAGAATGTTAGTGTGGATTCGAACAGGTTACAGAACACCTGTCTGCTAATGATGAACTGGCTATTTATACTCTTAGTAGATATCTTGATCGATATCGCAAATATATAATTATCGTGAAAATATCAATGTATTTCTGATGTATTTATCCCTTAAACTCCCACCTTATGATTTATTTTATTTTATCTATTTATTTTTTATTTTTTTGTATGTCATAGAAGACCCCAAATACACAACAGTATTGTTTAAATGCATCAAAATTTATAATATATATATATATATATATATATATATATATATATATATATATATAATAATAATAATAATAATAATAATAATAATAATAATGATAATAATAATAATAATAATGATAATAATAATAATAATAATAATAATAATAATAATAATAAACAAAATAAATAAATAAATAAAAATTGTGTGTACTGATGCACAGCAATGAAAGATCCCAAATGGTGACCTTGGTAGTAACAGACCACGGTGATCTCAAGCGGGTTGTTGTGTTAGAAATATGGCTGGCCACAGCATTCCAAGTAAGCTCTTGTGGTACTTCTCCACTGAGCTCAGTAGTGGAAACTTTACAGTCCGAAATGAAAATGCACTCTTACATAAGAGTTCACACACACACAAAAACATATGAACTGTCACGACCCAAAGTTCTGAAGTTCTACCCCTCGCCCCGGTCTGCGCGAAAGGGTTACATCTGGAAGGAGCTTTGGCGGGGAAGGGCATACGAGTGGGATTCGCGGTGATGGTCTCACCCATTTGCTCAAGAGAGCGAATCGTATCGTAGGAATTTGTTACTTCATTAACGCTTAGTGTATATTGTATATTATGCGATTGAGTAATAACGTGAAAGAATGTGCAACAATTCTTTTATTTTACCATGGAATATCTTTTAAACAAACTGTCAATTTCGCATCCACTCGAGCCCCCAGCCGTCCCAAACTCACTCCCTCTCAGATTGCTAGGAATATTCCAGAGCAGCCCTTGAACACAGTGGAAAAGAATTTACATTCTTTTCAGATGTCACCAAATAATAATAGTAATGGTATTAATAATAATTATGATAAAATTATGAAAAGTGCGGTTTAGTAACATCAATGAAACATTTTTTTTTCAATGCACAGTAACTTGCATTAGATTTTCTCTTCGGTCATAAACCTCCCTACACACACAAGAGAGTATTGTAAGTTAAAGTTACCAATGGTAGTAAATAAATATAAATTTCAAATGGTGAAGGGAAGCAGAAATAAAACATACTTAACGAAGTTGAATTTATTTTACACATACAAGTGTTTGTATTATAAATCAATCGAATAAGTAATTTCAAACAGCAAGATTAAAATTTGTATAATCTGCATCAGTATAAAATACATTAATAGTTAATACTCATAGTTTCACTCCTGGACAGGTTTTTGTGTACTGCAAGACATGGCTTCTCGATCCCTTCACATGTCCAGAAAGATGGCTTCATTTTAGTCTTCAGTTTAATCCATTCTCCTTTGAAAAAGAGCCTCTCTACATCGGCGTTCGAAGCCGGAAGGGCAAGAACATCAAGAGCAAAAATTGGCATATCTAATTGTAAAGGTTGAAACATTCTATTCGTCAGTTCCATGAAGACTTCAGTATGGTTAAGTCTGGTGGAATGTCAGTGTCGGGTAAACGTCTTCATTCTCTTGTTACATATTTCTTTTAGATCTAGGAGCTTGGTTGTTATACTTTGGTGTATGGTTACTGAAATGCCTACATACTATAGCATACCACTGTATGTGCATTTATCAGTCGCCACGTCAACAATTAAAGAAATTTAATTATTTTGGAGTTCTTTTATTATAATTATAGTTTATATATTTTTAGGTTTCCTTTGCTTTGTGTTTTTAAGTGCCATGCTTTGGATGATTTTGGAATCTGGCAAAGCATCTTTCAATATATTTTTAAAATGCTCAAAACTGTTCAGTGGTATCTTATGCTCTTCAAAGTATGAACAAAATTTAATTTCTGCCCTTGTTGTCATGTCATATTGACAAACTGCCGAGGTATTTGTACTTGAGGACGAAAGGGAAGCATAAAATGGAACCATATTAGTGCAGTGAATACGGGATGTCTTGTGTCGCTTGATGGCGGAGATCTCTGCACTGATTTGATAGCCACACGCTTCACAAAACGCTTTCTGGTGATTGCCGTCCACCTTCTTCAACCACGCCTTGAAGTTGATGTCTTCCAGCCAGGCATCTCTGAAGGCGCGCTTGGGAGGCATCTATGGAAGAGAACTCTAACTTTTTAGATTTTTTTTTTTCTCCTGTACAGCAATCAACTTATATCCAGAGGGAAAGCAATCTTATACTCAATGGGAAAGGAACAATGTGCTGAATGATCATCAGAACGTTGCGGTGCAGTAGATGTGTATAAAATGACTATGTAAAAGTGAGGCGTTTTTATGCAAATTAATTTTGTATCAACAGTCTCTAAAGTATGTCAACTATTTCTAATTAATCATAAATTGTAAAAGGAAAATATTCTTTACGATATTTTTTACCGCGTAATCTGTAGATGCGGTCCTTCTCTCCGCACTGAAAGGTGTAAGTGACTTCCGTAGACTCAAATCATCGCTTAATAAAAGCCATTTCCGTACTTTATTAAAACTGTTTCCCACCACCATGTTAATATCTAATCTAACCTCTCTAAACCACGATCACAAACATAAGTTCTCATGACTTCTATGCACGTTTATATGGAGTTGGATTCCCTCCCACACTTCTTAAATGGTAGTTGCTTTAATCATAATTAGGTTTTAACACTACACACCCTTTGTATAATGGTTCACTTTGCTTTGCCCGTCAATCGCTTAATCTAAAGGCATTTATCAAGGTACTAATGTGATGGCTGATTCATATAACACGATGTGCTGTGATAACATTTTGTGAGCTAATGAGTGAGAACCTTAAATCTTACCCCTTCCACCTTCGCACGCCCTCCCCGGCCCACCCTGTGTGTGTGTGTGTGTGTGTGTGTGTGTGTGTGTGTGTGTGTGTGTGTGTGTGTGTGTGTGTGTGTGTGTGTGTGTGTGCTTGTGCGTTAGCCAATGAGTGTGTGCGAGAGTGCGTTTCCAAATATACCTGTGCGAGTGCGTGTGCGAGTGTGTGTGTATACATGTGCAAGTGAGTGTACATGTGTGTGTGTCTGCGTGAGTCTTTATGTGTGTACATAAATACTGGGGATCTCCATTATTCTTCCTTTCACTCTTTCGTCACTGGCATTTTGAGGATGCATCGTGACTCGCGTTCCACTCTTTCCTTGTTGCGAAAGTTTATGATATAAGCACATATCCGTAAACACACATCAAAAAATATAAAGAACACAGTGAAGTTAAATAAACACAAAAGAGAACATGAATTCCAAAATTTGAATAGAAATATATATATATATATATATATATATATATATATATATATATATATATATATATATATATATGTGTGTGTGTGTGTGTGTGTGTGTGTGTGTGTGTGTGTGTATGTGTGCATATATATATATATATATATATATATATATATATATATATATATATATATATATATAAACATATATATGAGGGGTTTCAAAAAGTTCATGGAAAAAAGGCAATATGAAAAACGGTTTTAGTTATAATAATCTGTCGTACCCAGATCAGCAGCAAAAAAGAGTATATCTTTCAGAGATTTGGAGATTTTGAACAAGTGGGATGATGACTCTGAAACTTTTCTGCAGAGAAGACAGGAGATGAAACATGGCTCTTTCAGTATGATCCCGAGGACAAAATTCGATCAAAGCAGTGGCTGCCCAGAGGTGGAAGCGGAGCAGGCAGATTGTATCTGGATGGGTTGTGTTGGGAGGGAGTAGGAGGAAGGGGTATAGGAGGAATAGGAGTAGGAGGAGGATGGATATCAGCAGTCAATTGTGGAGGGAGAGGGAGTTGTGGAATTTGAGGGTGGCCGAAGGATTTTGGTGTCCGTTTGGGAAGCAAGTAGTTACAAGAGTTTCTGTAAAGGAGTTGGTTGGGGAGTTTTGTGAGATAAAGGTTTTCTTATGATGGGTGGGGGGGGGGGGGAAAGAATGGTGTCTGAGGAGTAGAGGCAAGGGTAGGTGGAGGTGAGTGTGTGGTAGGAGAAGGGATGAATGGTTTAGTCTGTTTGCTGCGGGTAGTGCGGGTGGGGGGGGGGGGGGAAGGTTGGGGCTGCAGTAGAGATTGGAGTGTTTGGATTTAGAATGGCATAAGAATTTGACAGGAGGTAGGAGGTAGAGGTGGGGAAGTAAGCTGAGGAGGGATAGGTATAGGGGAAGGTGTAGGGACATCTTGGGAGGGAGGGGGAGCGGCAGTGCGAGTGTCATTACTGGAATAGGGAGTAAGAGAAAAACCCTGCCGACGTGCTTCCTGTCTGAATCTGGGATCTGCCACCTCAGATTCAAATGTGTAGGCAGGGAAGCCCCTATAAATTATATTATGGGGGCTGCCACGTGTGCTGAGCCGTTTGATCGAGTACGACCAAGTTGGGCACATAGAGGACCTCTGGCTGCGGCCTTGACAGGGAGGGATTCTCCACTAATGTAAACATTAAAGGGAATGTCAAGTCTACGGAAAGTAATTTTGGCAATATGGGTGGGGTTCTTACGATGACCTCCGGGAGGAATGGAGTAGCATTGTACTGATATCGTCGCATCATAGTTCGTGAGGCCGGCGAGTAAGTCTTCTCCACAGTTCTTGTTATAGATAGGGCAGTTTGCTAGGGAGATAAGAGACCGTTCTGGTGCAAGCATTGAGGGTTGGATGAGGTTCTGCAGGAATAGGGTTCCCAGAGAGATCAGTTGGGGTTGATAATGCTATTGCTTGGCTTTCAGACGTTACTGTGACAAGACGGGAACGACCAGGTTAGCTACAGAGACTTTGCCTACTTGTTTATGGAGACGTTGCTGGAAGGGAGCTGTGGAAGGGATCACGGAAAATCTGTCACATTTGGCAGGACTAAATAGAGTATTAAAGATATTTGCAGAGATGAGGGTAGTAAAAGGACTGGGGCATGTGGAAGAGGGAGTAGTGTTGAGGAAGGTAGAATTATGGAGAGGTGGACAATAAGGCTGTAAAGTAGTAATAAGGGAGGGTAGTGTAGTTGATGAAGTAGGTTGTGGGGGTAGAAGTTATGAATGTTGGGAGAGTAGGAATGTCTCCTGGAGATTGAGTGTTGACTTGTGTGGATAATGTACTAGTAGGCATTGAGGAGGGGGTAGCAATTAAGTGTTCAGAGCTGTGGTCAAAGGAGAGTCTGGGGTTGGGGAATCGGGAGAGTTTGAATTGGTGGGGCTATTTGATGAAGGGCCAAGCCCCTAGTAAGGGTATAACATCTTCATTACTAGGGGAAGGGATAGACAACTAAAACGGGAATACCGTGCCCATGGCTCCCTCAGGCCATTCAAGACTGGCACAAAGTCAGCCTTTCATTCTTTCAGCACGGCTCTCACTGGGTGCATAGAGATAGCAGGTTTACCAGTGTCAAAAATTAAAGCATATAAACAAGTGTAGGTGTGCAAAGAGGAAGCAGGTTCTAGCGTGTCGGGCCTGACAGCCTGCTTTCCTGTTTGCTTGGATCATTCCTGCTGCTAAACCCGCATGGGTGGATGCTGCTGAATGGAGAACAGGACGGATGTTGAGCTCCTGATAGCCAGTTTATGAGATAACCAATGTGGAATAAATGGAATAAGTACCACACTAACAGGAATGTCGCGGATAGGCTGTGGGCTGAAATCAGCCAGGAACTGAAGTGCGAAGGTAAGCAAATTATTATAATTATTATTATTAATAATAATATAATAAATGCTATTATTATTATTATCATTAATTTTATTATCATTATATTATCATATCATATTCTGTGTCCTCGACCTTCCTTGATCATTTGAAGACACTTTGGAAGGGAATTAGCTCAGTGTTTAACTCCTAAGGCTTTATATTGTCCGAAATGTAGTGAATGGACATTTGGAGGTGCAGGACGGAGGATGTACTTTGAAATAATGCTTGGTGTATGTCCTGAGGTTCTCTATGGTTCTCTAAAGAGTTTCCTGGCAAAAGTTATAGTTTGTTCACCACTAATTATGCATTTTGACACTGTGTCCCATCCTGCATGAAAATATCAGCCTCACATTTTGACAAACAGTTTTCAAGTTTGTTCAGGATAAGTTCTTAACACTTTCGCTGCGTTAACCTAAAGAGCCCGCCGGTGTGTCGGCATCAGAATTAAATAATATAATAATTTTGTATTTACACTAACTGCGGATAACACTATATTTCCGATAAAGATTAGCATAAAAAGTTAACATGAAAGAAAAAAAGTGCAATTGTATTAAATTGCATTAATTGTATTTAAAAATATTTATAATGGTAAAGGCATGTTGCCAAATGTAAGATGATCCCGTTTTCTGCTATTGGGCATTCAACCTTCCTCATTGGGAGCAATATATATATATATATATATATATATATATATATATATATATGTATGTATGTATATATATGTATTTATATATATGTATATTTACATACACGCGCACGCGCGCCCGCATACACACATACACACAATACTCGTATAGGTGTGTGTGTATTTTTGTTTATATATATATATATATATATATATATATATATATAACACGCACACACACATTTATATATATTTATATAGGTATATATATATATATGTATATATATTTTTATATATACAGACACACACACACACATATATATATATATATGTCTATAAACACACACTCATGTATATGTATAAATGTACACACCTACCCACATTTACACATACATACATACATATATATATATATATATATATATATATATGTATGTATATGTATATATTAAATATATATATATATATATATATATATATATATATATTAAATATATATATATATATATATATATATATATATATATGTATATATATACATATATGTGTGTGTGTGTATAAACATAAACACAAACACACACATTTTCACTAATGCAAATACTTACGTACTTCATATGCGTATGTGTGTGTGTGTGTGTGCGCGCGTGCGCGTGTGCGTGTGCGTGTGCGTGTGTGTGTGTGCGCGCGCGCGCGCGTGCGTGTGCATACATATATGTACACTCATATATATATATAAACATACACACATTTTCACTAATGCAAACAAAAGCAGGCACACTTGTAAATATATAGTCACATACATGCGCACTCACGATCAAGAAATTCTATAGTTTTTTTTTGTTTTGTTTTGTCTTTTTGCGGCGAATGCTTATATTATGGAAAGCCCACCTATGCCCTAAAGTAGATCACTCTGAAGGATTGTACTACAATGACAGCCTAGCATGAAAATGTACACTTTTATTGCAAAAATAGTTCAAATATGCAAGAAATGTTTTGAAATAACTTTCAAAAATATACAATAATATCAAGAGAGGAACAGGGATTTAACAAAAAAATATAGATGATATCACACAGATGAACATCTCCAAATTTGCATGTTAGTACTTCACACGTGTATGGTATACGCGGAAACACTGAGGTACACATAGCGCAATCCCACAGTCAGCGCATTGCCAGTAGGTCATCTGACGCTTCCTATGTCGCAGTTGTGTTTTTGCACACACGTGACATCTCCTCCGTGGTCTTAGGTTTCTTGGAGTTGCCTCAAGAGAACTTGGGAAGTGGCGTTCAGTAAGTCGCAAGGGTTTTGTTCCTGGAACATTGTGTGGCTAAATTCAAGAAAGGTACATATAATAAGAGTTTAGTCTTGCCATGTCTACAATATGTCTTTTATACCATTTGATTGATTCACTTTCTATAAATAAGATTACTTGTGAAAGATCTGGCAGGAAATGCATTTTCAAGTGTGTATTTGAAAGGCAACACGAAACGTGTGTTGATGGGTGAGAACAAGAGAATGTTAGGTAGAAAGTAAATATAATCATTGAAATATTTGCATATGGATATTACAGTGTATTTGTGCATTAGAACATTTATGTGTGAGTTAGAGATTGTGCTATCAGAGAGTATCTGCATGTGTATAAGAGTGGTTGTGTTTCTCAGAGATTTTCAATAACTTAAACGTGTAAATTTGAGTGTAATCCATGTGCTTGCGTAATATGGGTTGCTCGCGCGATATTTCCCAGTACCTATGTTCCCAAATACGATGCGATCCCTTTGTTCCCCGTGCCGATGATCCCCAGAATGTATTAGGTACCGGTGCACCCCGGTATCTATAAGGTACCAAAGTTTCTTGGCACTTATATTCCCTTATTCGTATGTTAGCCAGGGGCAAATACTCACTGGTCCCTATGTGCGCTAGATAAGGAAATAAGAACTGGATTTGTATGGATACCACTTGATGCGTATGTATGAGAATTTCAATATTTTTTTTATTTTACTTTTATTTATTTTCATTTTTTACTTTCTCGCTCTCTCTCTCTTGTAAGAGCGTAAGAGTGAGAGTGTGCGAGAGGGAATGAGTGAGTGAGAGAGAGACAGAGACAGAGAGAAAGTGAGAAAGAGAGAGAGAGAGAGCAAATGACCCATCTGATTACTGATTACTCACGCAAAGTATAAATCAACGCATATTCAACTGTATATATACGTCCAAAAATCGAAATGAATCAATATATCAAGTAATCTTCAATTCTGGGGATCCTTTATATTTCCGGCAGTGCAAGACATCGGTACTTGGGAACATTAGTATCGGGGCTGTGTGCATCAGTGGATCAGAATGTCTGGACGGAAGTGAATATTTTCA